CTAGATATTAAGTAAGATATCTATAAAGGCTACTACTTCAGGCTAATATCTAAAATAAACTAGAGAATAAGCTAGCTAAGAGAGAAACCTAACCTAAAAATACCTTGGGCATAATAGTATTAATACTAGAAATAGTAGGATCCCTCCCCCCACCCTACTAGGCACTATAGCTAATTAAGTTACTAGAAATAGATTAGATACTAGCTTTGTTTTAAGATTAAGTTACTAACCATAAGTTAAATACTATTAAATATTATCTTAGTAAGATAGTAGACATTAATATAGCTCCTATATTTCATTACTAAATCTTAAATAAAATTATATAAAGAGAGTTATAATTAGCCACTCTCCTAGCTAATAATGCTACACCCCTAGGTCTGAACCGTCTGATAGATAAGTAAAAGTATAAAATTAAAAACCCTAAGGTCCAGCATCTGCATAGATATTATAGAAGACTTATAGAAGAGATCTATATATAGGGTTTGTAATGGAGTGGATGCAGATTAGGTTACATCGTTACCTTGCATTGCATCTATGTATGATATCACCTACCTACGTCTACGCATCATGGCCGAAGTGCCATCGAACCGTTGGCGAACGTATATGGGAGCGTTTCCTCCCTGTCTGTCAGGACAGACAAGGAGGAATCTTATATTAAGGGGATCAACTGAAAATACTATTCCTTTCCTCCTCATAATCATTAGTTCCCTCATCATTATTCCTAAAAGATATAACCCCTTGCAATGCCTATTTTACTTAGCTAACATAGGTTTACATCTCAGTACCCATGAAAAATTTAGAATTATAGAGAAAACCTGCACTAAGCAGAGCTTACTATATTTCGCACTAGTACTAACTAGTTTCATCATCTCCCAAAGAGCTCCGTTGGATATTACATATAAAGGAGACTGGGGTGCAGAACTGATTTCAGATGCCCTTCAGAGGTGGCATCTGGGCATAACAAAATTCTACCTCGTCACATACATCACAGGTTGTACCACCAAGATAGATCACAGGCTATAGTGGAGATTGCCGCGACCCTACTGAGGCCAGCCTGCAACCCTCTCGGGATAGCGGTGGCTCAAGGGCACACTCAAGCAGTCAAAATGCTGCTTAACGCGAGTGCGGCAACAGACATCAAAGATGATGCTGGGTTTACTCCCCTCATGTTAGCAGCTAAGAAGGGCAACTTAGACATTGTGTCGCTCCTAGTAAGGGCTAGGGCGCCTTTGGATGGAAAATGCCAAGAGGGTTGGACGCAGCAAAAATAGTGAGCGCAAGTGGCCATCATCCCATTGCCTTCTATCTGAATTTGCAAAGCCATTACATGAGATACCTAGTCCATGACCATTCCTTCTCACAGTTCTGCGACGGTTCAAACATGGATATCCTGTCTTTGTTGAGCATATGCGGTGTAAATATTCTGTACTAGATAGTGTTTTGAATCCTCCAGCACCCGCAACTACCTGCAAATTTGATGGATGGGACAGAAATGGTCAGACACGTCCTTGATATAGATACATACAGTTGGCGATGGTAGTGATGCTGGTGGTGTATTCATACCCTGACCCCTCGCCTAACTTGTAACTCTGGATGAGGTACAAAGTGACTAATTCCTCTATAGTAACTATGCAAGTAGTCGGGGCTATTTGTAGTTACAGTAGCTGCCCTCTGCCTGGGGCGGTTGTGGCAGCCTATTACTATTAGGCTGCCACTGCAATGCGTATACATCACGTAATTTGTATTAAGCAGTGGCTGACAATTCTCTTTTCATACACTCGAGCTGGGGAACATCCAACAGCCATAAAATAAGTTGTCACAATGGACAGTCTATCTCTACTACACAGTACAGAGAAGTGCAAAACCAGCTTCACTAATCTACACTTTTCCATTCTTTCTGCAGCCTACTGCCAAGACACTAGCTTAAGAAATGGGTAGATCTAAGTATTAAAGATATATGTATTTGGATTTAATCAAAAAAGCTTCGCCTTCTATCTAGGAGCTTTATCTGCCATCACATTGCCTTATTTCCCTTCCGCAGCCGCGGCCTTTTTCTTATCATCAATGGTCTTGGCAACAGCCGGGCGGGCCTTGATACGGTTCAACCAGGAATTAACATGCGGGAAGTTCCTCTCGAGATCTATTTCCTTCGACCAGAAGAGCGCAGCCACCTCGAACCAGGGCACAAAAGCAACATCGACATAGCTGTACTTGCCGCCAACGAGGTACTCCTTGCTCTGGAGCGATCGGTTGAGCACGCCCGAAACACGACGGATCTCGTTAACATAGCGCTCGACCGCACTGGGCACCTTCTCAGGGTGGTAGATCGTAAACCAGGCGGCCTGCCCGAAGTACGGTCCCTGGCCGGACACCTGGTAGTGTAGCCACTGCTTGCTTTCGTAGTACTCCTTCGAGCCGGCGGTGAAGCTGATGGTGTGTTGCTTGTCGTATGTGTCCACTAGGTACTCAAGGATGGCGCCGGATTCCCAGATGGTGATGCCGGTGTTCGGATCCTCGAGGGCGGGAACACGACCGTTAGGATTGATAGACTCATAGGGTTCCTTCTTTAGGTCGCCGAGATCGACAAACTTGGGCTCATAGGGAACCTCGAGCTCTTCCAGGATCATGAGGACCTTCCAGGGGTTGGGTGTGCTAGCGTGGCCCAGGAGGGTCCAAAGAGTGAGGGTTTCGAGAGACATGGCGAGTGAATGAATGATGGATTGATTTGGAGAAAGAGATTTCGATACAGAGACTACAAGGACCGAGGGTTGGTCTGCTTAAAAGTGCCGGTATACTCCAATGACGGGAACGTCAGGACATACATTATTCAGCTCGGCACCTGTGAAGACCGAAGGCTTGGTAAGCTGGATAGTTAATTCTCTTGTGATTTTCATCAGTGTTTATTAGGCCTTAGTTATCAACACAAATGACGGACTATGCAGCCAATCCGCCTCAGGACGTTGATGGATTCTTGATCATCAACACAAACAGCACAAACTATAATGCAAACAAAACTTGCTTAGAGTGGGGGCATTAATAATTGCGGAGCGTAGCGAACCATTGGTCCTTAGTTATCAGCCCAAACAGCACAAACTATGATATAAACAAACCTAAGCTTGCCTGGAGAGGGGGGGAATTAATAATTATGGTGTAGCAAACCATTGGACCTGGATTACATAACCATGCTCTATAGGAACGTCCCTGACTGTCAATGCGGTGTAACTTAATGCGGAGGGGACTGGCTGTATCTACACCTGCGGAAAGTACTCCGATGAAGTTATCAGATCTTGAAGGATTTAGGACCTGCTTTACAGTTTTTTCTTCTTACAGTACAATTATTGGATCACAGAGCCACAACTTCTTTTACTAGAGTGGGTAAAGGCCAGCCTTTCCTCATGCTTTATTTCCATCGTCTGGAACAGGGGTAAGAAAGACGGCCAGTCCACCACTCGAGCCTCAATCTTGTTGTCAGGTAGCTGGGGCATCATGGCCATCTTTGGGGACAGTGACTTCCGGCGTACATACCCATGTCTGCGGCCGTACCAGCACGAGAGAAAGGATGGGTGCACTCCTGCCACATTTCGTTACAATATGATACTCTCTTAGGCGAAACATGCCTCTAGCTCCCCCAGAATCTCCTTGTACACATTTCAGGCGAGAAAGGTTGTAGACAGCTGATCACAGACTGCACCTTCTACTGGATACTTGGGTCCAAGCATGGGACGCCTTATCTGTCCTGAAGCACTGCACTCATTTCTTCCGCACTGGTGATGAGTTGCCACCCATTTTGAGTGATGAGATTGCGGGAGACCTCAGCTTGTTAGGGAGATGAAGAATGAGTTTAGAGGACTATTTTGATGAGAGGGAGTTGAGGGGACATGTGATGGTTGGAATGGGTATGATATTGGGTATAAGATTGAGCAGCACGACTCGCGGGTTTCGAGGTGCAGTTCTGGTGGAGAGCGCATTCGCCGAGATTCATAATGAAGAGACCCAGCAAGCATCATTTCAAGAAACTCTGCTGGATTCGTAATCGTCCGTCAGCTAAGAGGGACGATGCAGCTTAAAGCCGCAAGGGCATCGCGGCAATTACACGATGAAAATTTATAATATAAAGAGAATTCCGAACCTGCTTATAAAGCCGCGAAATGAATCCCGGCATCGACCTCACTCCATTTGGCGCCAACCCAACTACTTAAAAAGCAGCTTAAGCTATTTATAACTTGTTAACGACCTGATAAATTCTCATTGATCTACAGCTCACCTATACCATCTGCTTGTTTCAGAAGTAAGCGGAATGGCCGCACAAGGAAAGCACACCCTTATCTTCGGCGCCTCCGGTATCTCGGGCTGGTCCTTAATGAAGCAATGCCTCTCCTACCCAACCCCTTCGACCTTCGCCCATATCACAGGACTCTGCAATCGGCCCGCTGTGAGAGTCCCAGTAGACACCAGTTGTATAGCCAAAGCCCCAAATAACTTGGTTTTTCCACAACAAGGGTCGGAGAAATAGGGGAGTGAGCCGAAGTTTGCCAAGGATACATAAAGCCTATGATCTCCATTCCTTTCACCTTGAGAGTCTTACACCCTTTAATATTCATACGGGCCAAGGTTGCACGGTTGTAACCCGTAGTTCGGATAAATCTATTCTCTCTGGTTCTCAGGTTTATAACGCATTATAGAACTTTAACCAATATGGCGGCCCGGTAGAACAAGTACAGGGGAACCAACGCTATTGTCGCCACGGTGGGATAGTGATAATTTATGGTTTGCGACGGCGGGTCTGCAACCGGACGGGAATCCGGACATTGAGAATATGAACACTATAGCCACCTCGAATTCACAGGCTAGGGGTCGGGAGAGCGCACCGACCATATCCTATAAAGCTACGCCTTCACTGCTCTACTCGCTCGCAGCTGTCAGATCGCGTGGCCCCCGATGTGCCGAAAATAATTCGTGACAAGTCAGTGGTGTCCCAGTACCCACATACAGCGACACTCATGGAGATTGTCAAGTCGTTGGAAGGCCATTTGCAGAACCCTGGGGCACCCATATATCAGGCGATGCTCTTGAACAGGCAGGCGATACTCAAGGTGCGGGACATCTTGGGCTCCCACGAGTTCCAGCACTGCCAGAGCTGTCTGTCATTAGTCGCTACCGTTATGGGTCTGGTTGTGGGGTTGTATGAGGTGGTTTCAATCACCATTCATCAGCCTGCGACTGCGACCCGCGGTGGGCCTATCCCAGATAGCAGCCCTTCTGAATTGGCACCATCGGCCCCCAGTGTGATTGGTATGTCTGTCTTCCGGTTTGGATCTCTTGAATTTGACCCTGACGAGCAAGAAATCTTCGAAACTGCGATGGTTCGACGGGACCTATCCCGTTACATCGAAGCCATTCGGCACTGCAGCCAAAAAATCCATCAGCAACAACAGCTGGAAATCAACAGGATAGAATGGCGGTCCAGCATGGAGGGTTTCAAGCAATAAAATTATGTACAGACCGTATCCAGTTACAATGGTATCAGGAGTTGGAACAACAAGCTATACGGCTGCTTGCATCAGCCCCAGTCCGATGTTCCCATGGAGCTGGAGGGTCATGATACAAAATATAGACTTTCCAAAGCTTCAGGTTATTTAAGGGAGACGACGGATAATCCTCTAATCGATAAGATTGGATGTTTGATTGTACTTAATGAGGGCGAATTCTTCCTGGAAATATATACATGGATATTGAGAAGTCTAGACGTCTGAGCTTCGCGTATTTAAGGCTGATAGGATTTATAAATTATTTAAAGGTAGAGATCGTACTAAAGAGCAATACAAAATGAGTATACAAGTAGAGAGGACCTATACTAATCCCTATCTGTCATCTTAAGGGTATCGCTGTGCGGAATATATATCTCGCTGTGGACTTACAGAATATGCCAACGCGTAGCGCTCCATGAATGCAGAATTTAGGATACCCTTTGACGCTGCATTTGGATTTCTATTTCTTTCATTTCAGTCTGCTACCTGCAGAAAGCATGACTCGCTACAAAATTCCACCCAAAAAAAAAGCCACTGAAGTTTCCGAGATTCTCATGCAAGGAGCATTTAATCAATCTTGGCTCTGGGAAATGTCTGTGATTGCTTGAGCAACATAAATATATAGATCTTTTTCTCGAAGACACAAAGATAAAAAGAAGTAATATGAAGAATTGATATCCATCTTGTATATACTCATGGAGCTTTATGGCCTTAGCGGCAACCTAACATAACCAGGACACTACAAACCCTCTAATATATTACTTATCTTTCTTAGCTGCGTAGAGCTCAGACTGTAGCTGCCCAGCCAATACGGCTGCTACCAAAGACCCGCTTGTCATGGCCGTTACCACAGCCTTCAGGGGACCAGCGCAATCACCGGCAGCAAATATACCGGGTACAGAGGTGCTGTAGAAAAGCTCAGTAGACTTGATATCCCCATCAGGGGTAAGATCTAAAGCTAGCTGGTCCGCAAAGGGCCCATTGACTTGGGTTTTTGGTTTATGTGTCTAGACACATTAGCTACTAAATTTAGTTTGGTTTGGATATGCTACTTACCAGAAAGCCTTCAGTGTTGTTCATGCCGTCCTCAAAGACAATTTGTACCTCCGACTTACTTTCCCCTTTGACAAGCCGTGAAATAGGTCGTTTTCCGACTTTAATGCCCGTTCCCTCAGCCGCGTCCTTAAGAACTTGACCCAGTTCCTCAGCACCATGCGTGTAGATAGTCACCGAATCCGCAAACCGCCTCGCCATGCGCGCCACACGCGCCACAAGCATAGCAGCCACTGTATTGCCCGTATCTCCAACAGCCAGGACACCAACCGATGCACAGCCCCGTTCCTCAAAGCCATGACAGAATAGACAGTGGAAGCTGGCCCCGCAATTAATCACCTCAATACCATTCGGGCACAGGAAAGGGGGAAAGAGGTTATACTTACATCCCCGTCGCCCAACAATCCGCATACCCCTCAATATCGGGGAAGATGTCCTGAACACCGTTGGCAAGAACTAACTTACGACTGGTCCAGAACCGGCCATGGGTATCGAAGGCTTTGAAATAACCCTCGATAGTCCTTTCCACTTGCTTTATCTCGGTATTCTCGAAATGGATTGTGTCGTAGCGGGAGAGGATTCGTTTGCGGCCCTCGCGCCGATATTCCTCGGCGGATTTGTGATCCCACGTCGCCAGGTCGTGCATGTGCTCGGTTAGTGCATTGCGATACATACCTGAGTCGAAGAGGACGGCGCGGTGTAATTAGCAGGCGAGGGTGGTCACTACTGACAGACCGGCTGGGCCACCGCCGATTACGAGGACGTCGAAGAGGGTCATAGTAAAGGATTATTATAGGGGCGGGGGCAGGCTAGAGATAGAGAGAATGAGAAGAAGTCTATTAAGGTGGTGTATTTATAGATAGGAGAAAACAACGCAGGCTATCAGCGTCCGTTAAATAGAGGTAGGCATATCAGGACTTGTGAGGCAATTTTCAATATGTGCCCTATTCCCTTCATTATTGGGGTGGACTGAAGACTGCGGCCCGTTCGGTCTCCTGCGAGGCAACTTTCAATATGTGCCCTATTTCCGTCATTATTGGGGTGGACTAAAGGCTGCGGTCCGTTCGGTTTCTTACTCAGGTTCCGGCCACCAAGGATAATTCTATCAGGTCATCGTATTCGTAGCGTGGCTTATTCCATAGCCCTGTTGTGGTTGAACAAATACTCTTGTGGTTACATGATGATTCAGGTGGGGTATGGGAAGAAGGGTACCTTCATCTCTTCATCTACAAGAGAGAGCACAATAATTATTTCAACATACCGTGGGTGATCACCTGACGATCGATTTCCCACCAAACGACCACCGTAGAAATGAAGCCATAGAGCCACATACAATTCGAATTATATAGAAATATTTCGATGTATTAAACTTAAGGTCCTAAAAAAGCTATAGAGGGTTTCTAATTATCCCAAAATCGTTGTAGGAGCCGAATCTGCCTGCCTCAACGATTTACTGTTGTAGATGCTGCTGAAGATGTATAGAATAAAGACTGCACGGCGTTTCGCGGCAGCGACAATCCAGGATTCCCATGTTGGTTTGGTCCATTCTATTTCGGCGGCACAGAAAAAACCATTCAACTAGTCTGGAAGGCCAAATCCATGAGAGTTACCATGGTCTTTTCTGAGAAATTGCCGCGAGGGGAGAAGTACATCAGGATTGAGTAAATAAGGTAAGCTTGGAAGACAGATAGAAGATTATAGTCATGTTGATTTCAGCGCTTTAATCTCATTAATACAGGCATGTCTAAACAGGGAGAGGTGCATACCTCACTAGCGAGCCTATCCATCTCCTGTCTAAGTGTATTTATAACTATCTCCTTCCTCCCAGGGACAGCATGTTCTCACATACATACTAGACTATAGTAATTTGCTAGTGTGCAAGGAATTTTGTTCCCCTTCATCTAGGTGAGATAAATTTTTAGAGGGACATGCCATTCAATTTGACTAACTTGTATTGTGCGACGTGTTAAGACACGTTGAGCTACACTGCCATATCCGATCAATCCGGACCAAAAATGAGAGGATGGCCAGATGTCTGATAGCCCGAAATGCCCGACTATGACGCGATTGCAACCTGCCTATTGACCCACCCATGTGCCTGTGGAGGTGGAGTGTTTCCAACCGCATCGTCTAATTCTGCTGGGAGAAGGTACATGGCGTCCACAGTGTTCTTTATGACTGTCTGAGACGGATAGTCGGGCTTCTCGCTGAGGAATGCTTGTTGTGAGCAATACCATGAGGTTCTGATCTTCTACTTTGGACGTGTGACAGATCATAACACCGCGCACGGCAGCTGCAGTGAATGCAGCTTCTAGCCCGTAGGTGATCCACCATGGCAGTATATCGTTCGAAGAGTGTGGATAAGCGGCCGGACTCTTTACATGAAAACTAATTCCTCCTCGGGGAAGGATAGTTACGTCATCTCGGAATTCCGAACAGCCTTCCGACCCTTTGTATATATAAACCCCCGCAACAGTCGCAGTTCATTCCATACAAGCATACTGTTACTGGTACCACTCAACGACTCGACCTCAGTTTCCCAGACACATAACTGGCTCACCAGCAAGCTCACACCTGTATCCAAGACCAAACAGGAAATTCCCCTGTAAAAGTCCATTTAGTCTGGCGCCGGAGCCAATTAGTGGTTCCTGTAAGTATCATCTCCATCAGCTTCCCCTTACCTCATACTTGCCTCTGCTACATGTTACTAAACTGCCACATTCTAGCATAAATCATACAGGCCAAGCACAAGTCATCTAGTCAGTATTGGAGACCAAATTGCCGTATCATGGCACCCCGAATTATTCCCGAGGCAGGCAATGCGCCAAACGTGTCTTACGACGCCCAACAAGCCTACGCGACTCTGAAATCTGACGGAGTCATTATCGCTCCGACAGATGTTGGTTATGCGCTGATTACCAGTACGCAGGCTGGGATTCAGAGGATCTTTGCAGCCAAAGACCGCCGACAGGGCCATAGTATTGGGATAATGGGAACATACCGGCAACATCGCGAGATACACATGCTTCCAGAGTCCAAGTTTGAAATGACCCGTGTCCTAACAGAAGATTCTGGGATGATAGTCGGAATTATCGCCAAGTTCGACACTAAGAGTCTTCACCCCCGGCTAGCGGTGCTAGATCCGACCACGCTCTCTCAAGTCACACAGGGGGACACAGTCAGCATTGCAGTCCCCGAAGGGCCATTTTTGCGAGAACTCGGCCGGCTCTGTGATGCGGATCCGCAGGGAATGTTGATGTTTGGGACTTCTGCGAATCGTACAGGGCAGGGGCAGCAGTTCCGGGTGGAGGATATTGATTCCGTCGTCCTTGCATCCGCCGATTTGGTGGTAAATTACGGTCTGCAGAAGTGGCACTTGTATGGCCGTGGGGGGGTCAACTTTGATGCCGAAAATATGCGAGTGTTGCGCAGGGGAGCTGGATACGAGACTTTCAGAGACAGGATCTTACGATGGTTTCCTCATCTGTTGGAAGAGGCGGGCGTCAGTCTTGATGAGGACTCAGAGCACTGAATCAATAAGCCGGGTGGTAGATTTTAGTCTTCAGTCACCAATAAAGGCGGCAAGTATAGTGATTTGACTCCCGCGTCAGAACATAACTGTTTAATTCGATCCGAATGATGGAAATCTACAGTACATCGAGGAAGAACGGTTGGCGGTAATCAGTACTCTTCTCGCGAATACCGGTGTCGAGGTTGACATCTAGAATATTGAGCTCGACACCCTCCTTCATATCCTTAATTACGACGAACGCGACGCAGGTTTCTAGGGTTAACGGATCAGAAAATCCGTTTGGAAGTCGCAGGCTGATGCTATGTCGCAAGGATCCATTTTCATGGTCGCAGGGAAGGAACGGCGCAACAGGTCAAAAAAATACATGTACTCGGATTCCATCACCACCACTAATTGCAGGCCCAAGACAGATCCTGCACCCATGAGGAAAGAAATTGTCAGACTAGTCTACAAATGGACGTGTCCCCATATTATTACATTGGTGGTGAATTCAGCCAACGCAATCATGATGTATCATGAGGTCAGAAGCAACAAGCAACAATTGAAGAGCATGTAGCGAAAAATATCTTTTCCCTCAAAGTACGTATTTCATTTTGGTTGCAACTACAAGCTAAGCTTTGAATCTTGGCTGAAGACATGGAGGACAGTTCGAAAGACTACCTGTGCATTCAACAAAGGTATCAAGACTGGAGAAGAGAAAGGAAGAGCAAACTATCTGGTGGGGTGATATTTATATCCCACGATAAGGATCGCCTTCTGTTATTATCCCGATTCGGCCCAGTTTGTTCGTATCGTCAAATCGGTCCTCCCATGTACGTCCAGATCAGCAGATCGTCACATCCTCATCTTGGATATCCTTCCCAAAAGTACTCCCTTAATTGGACTATCAACCGGGCAGGACTAGGGTGGCTCAGACTTGGCATTTATTTCGGATATTCCAGTTCTGATCAAAAGAGACAGAGCAGGAACAAACATATTTTTCAATACTACAGTCAGTCTTTCATCCAAACTTGGTCGACTTAGTAGAAGACTTCTACGATGACGACGATCTAAAGCATAACTACGATGGGCTGGCTGTAAGCTTGTCGCCAGCCATCACTGCTCCTACCGATTCTGAGAGAGTCCGAGATTGCAGGAATTTGTCAAAGCATCCTACGCGTCCTTGAGTAACTACATGAGGATCTAATAATCGGGCATGGGCATGTCGGGAGTAGCAATATTCTTCTATCCTCTTGACTACTACCTAAAATGTTAACCACAATAGTGCATGATAAGAGTTGAAAAATTACTGGCTAGGCTTCTTCATAAATTTTAATCAGGCAATTTTAGGGCACTACTTTATTATCTATTTTAAGTTATCTCTAAGTCCTTTGCAACCTCAACCGGCTCAAATTCCAAAAAGAGCTTGACTTCCGCGGAACTGGTCGCGTGTACCTCGTATTAACGCGCCAAGGCCTATGTCTTCTGAAATATCTCGTATTCGTGGAAAAAAAGGCCGTCTCAATATCCGGGAACCAGGCACTGAATTGAAACAAAGTATCCTCAACGCCCCACCCTGTTCGTGGATAAATACCGCAATTGCTCTGCTTATTGAACAATACTCATTGTTAAAAGTCGCAGTTATGGATATCTCAACCACTATAGATCCCAATGATCTCTTCTCTGCCAAGGGTCTGGTCGTTGTTATCACAGGCGGAGGCAGTGGTATGCCTTTACTTCTTACGTGGATGTGTCCATTAAGCCTGATATTTCTTAGGAATTGGCCTCGCCATAACCTCGTGTCTCAGCCAAGCTGGTGCAGCCCACATTTATATTCTCGGCCGCCATCTATCTACTCTCCAGGAAGCTGCTACTAGCGTTGGTACCGCTGTTGTACCCATACAATGCGATATCACTAGCCAGGCCTCTGTTTCCGCCGCTGTTGCAAAGATAGAAGCTGAAATCGGCTATATTGATGTTTTGATAAATAATGCCGGCGTGCAGGGTCCCGACCATAAGCCTGCTAGAGATGCAGAAACAATAGAGGAACTGCAGAGAATATTGCTCACTGATCCGGAGGGCTGGCAACCCACTTTTGCAGCCAACTCAAGCGCAGTTGTTGGAGTCTCCGCTGCCTTCTTGAAACTCCTCGATGCGGGGAACAGACGGCGGGGTTGGGAAGGGGGGAAGATTCCTTTGGGACGACCTCGGCGGCGGGATATCACCGTCTTCGCTAAGGAGGGGACCGCATTAAACGACGAGAGGAGCAGTCAGATTATAACAGTTGGGAGCATCTCTGGCCTTAATCGCTTTATAACGGCTGGGTTAGCTTATGGCGCGAGCAAGGCTGCGGCAATTCATTTGAGCAAGATGTTGACGTATTTGTTGGCGCCATGGGGAATCAGATGTAACGTGATAAACCCTGGAGGTGAGTTATCTGTTGCTAGGGCCCCTAGTCTCACTTGTTGCTGGATTTTACCTTACCGCTTATAGTGTATCCCTCAAGGATGACAGCCGGGACAAATGACAATTACAGCTACATGGAAGTTCCTGCTGGTCGAAAAGGTATGTATCAGGATATTTGTGGGGTTGTTCTGTATCTTGTAGGCAAGGCCGGAGCCTATGTCAATGGCAGCATGGAGAATACAGATGGGGGGCGCCTAAGTGTCATGCCTGCAACATATTAGTTGGGCGTTAATACATGATAGAATTCATATATAACCTTAAGGCCTTACGGAGGCGGTAGCCTGAGATTCTCACGTCGCTGTATCCTCAAAAGAACGCATTAAAGCACTCCTAAGAATCTTTACGGTCCCTACCATAGCTTTCCCCCGGTCTCCTGGCGGTGGCGGTGGCGCGGGAGTGCAAAGAGACTATTAGGGTTGGGGGAGGGGGATTGGAACCGGGATCCGCACTGGGGAAGGTAGGACTTGTCCGATATGGATACGTTCCAAACAAATGCAAGTTCATTCGGATCTAGAGCGAATGGAATTATCGTGGTTAGGCGCAACTGATAGCGGGCACTGACTGGCATCAATGACGTTTGCCCGGGTCTTGTTCCCGGGGAGAATGGTCAATCGGGTTCAGCGGATTCAATACCTGCTTGATCGCGAACAATTTTCCATAATGGAGCAGCCTTATATCATGATTTTCTTCATTTACTGCATGCGGGCAAGGCGAGCGTTATGCTGCTCAATGAGGTGTGCAGCACCAAAAGCACCTGAGTCAGCGTGGTGGCGATCGATAAGAAAGAAACAATGGATATATATAAGCTTACCTAGCACCACAGTAGTGATTTGGATTGCAAAACTAGATCTAAGCTGAAAACGTGCAATGGCGTCTCATCCTCTTCAGGTGAGGCGAGGCCTACTGCCTAAGGTTGCCGTGGACTGGGTCCCATTCCACGCTTTTCGTCCATGCGCCTATAGTAAAAAATCTGGTGGGCAACAGCCACCTATCCCACCATTCTAACTATTCCTGCCTGTGCATGGAGAGAGTGCTCTCTCACCCTTTTTCTATTCCTAAGCTATTTAAAAAAAAACACACTCTCTCCGAAGACCTTGAAAAGCCATAATTAGCCTTAATAATATTAATTTCTACCATCATCCCCCTCCCCTTAAACCTCCCACGCACACTTTGTCTTCTTCTAGCTGGAAGTTATACCATGTGCCTTCTGCTCCCCAGTCCTTTTTATTTTCATATCCCCTTCCCCCCAAGCCTCCTGCCACTGTAACAGCTGTCCTAACTTCCATGATTAAAGGGCACCTCCAATTCGCTGCCCCTCACAATATATTTAATATTGAGCTTGAGAATATCCCTACTCAAGAAAACAGCCTGGTTGAGAGAGAGACTGACTTAGACGTAGATTATTAAAGCAAGTCCTAAGCCAGAAATGACCTTGGTGATTAATGCCAGGATGCTTCTCCTACTCTTAGTACATGGAAAATATCTGTGATAGTATTAGGGGAGTCTCTACTGATGCTCTGGGCAGTAACTAGTTTAAGAATGTTGGTGCTCCCAGTTATACCAGCAGGCACTGATGACTACGAGGGAGATGGGGGAGGCGAGGGAGGAGGGAATTAATTAGTTACCTAAAAAAGGGCCTTGCAAGTCCAGCTAGATACATGCCCACAGTGATGACGTGATGCTGTCAGCTCTGGTCCGATCGTCACTGCAGCAGAAGCAGACTTGGGCTACTTAGGTGGTATGTAGTTTATGCCCCTCTTCCTCTTGGTTCCACTAATAAATATATGGCAGGGCGACCTGTTAGCGCAGTTAATAATTTACCAGGTGACTTAGACTGTCTTCAATTGTCCTTATCTGGATGCGAGGCCGAAGAGCAGATAATAATGATAGATGGTGTTCTGAAGCATCATAACTCTCAGCTACTTTCGCCGGCCTTGTCGAACCATGCGTTACCTTTGAATAAGGGTCGCGCTTGACCTGGTTAACACCATGGAATCATGTTTAAGGACTTACTGTCTGAGGCATTATACTGTAGAGAGCAGACGAGAGCCTTGATGGTTAGTGTGTCTAATTCACTAACTGCCACGCCTAGCATTACCTTAAGCAGGGACGCTAGTAGTAATTATGAAGATAACATCTCTGTCCTCCCTAGCCTGAACTTGCAACCACAACATAAGGGAAAGTAACTAAGGTCATACTCACCTCTCCATCATATACCTTTCTCTTAAGTGAATACAGAATCTAACTAGCATGATTAGTTACCTTCTGTTGCTGTGGTAATCCCAGTCTATTAATCAGCTAGCTCAATGGTGGGAACTTCCAGGGACTCCCTTATGCAGCCATCACACTATTTTCACTAAGCTAGTGCATGTTACAATAGCAAAGAAGACCAGCTAACAGACAGCTTCACTAGAAACTATTCTTAGCTTACAAGAAAAGCTGCTGCTGATGGCTGGGAGCACCTATAGAAAAGATATCAGCAGAATATAATCTTAAAGACTACTCAGAACATCTTAGTTTCTGCTAGGTGTCACTCTAAAGGCTCTATAGCCATACTTAAGGCCCTATCTAGAGTTAACTTTCTCCCTAGTCCTGGGGAGACACGGGAGGTTTTTAGCCGCGGCATCATCTATATTCAACCACACAGCCAGTGGCATGCATATTTCCTTACGTTCCTTCCAGATGCTGTTAATCATCTACCATCTCATGTCCAACCCTGGTCAGCCCCCGACTGGCTATTATGCACCAAACATGCTCCCCGCACCTCATCAAAAGCATGTGCAGTCGAGAAAGGAAATGTGCAGTTAGCCCACTGCCAGACCCAGAATTAGAGGGCTAACCCCAAAACTAAGAATAATTATTTAACGCGCCATAAGAATTCTAGGAAAGGGATGCCATGGGTACCAGAGGAAGAGGAACTCTTGGTAAAGTTAAAGAGGGATTAGGGTCTTCCATGGTCAGATGTGATAAGATTGTTCTCTGAGCAATATCCGGGAAGAACTCAAGGTTCTATTAAAGTATACTGGAGCACGAATCTCAGCAAGAGATCGCCATTAAACTTCTGCCCTCGATCGCTACCCAGTGTATCCAGCTCTAACGAGAGCTGGCAGCTTCTCCAACCGGCAAACGAACAAAATGGCATTCCGATTGACCCAGTGATCCTCACCAACAATGGGCCCTGGGATGCAGAAGATGAACGCCAGCATATCCACGCGGACGGCGATGCTGTCATCTCGGAATCTATTTGTTAATATCCTGACCCTCCACCACTTCTCCGCGACACGCTTGCAGAGAATAGAAACTCCAATGTATATCCTGAAGCGCAAGAAGGAATCTCTTGATTAGATAGCCTGCTACTCAACAACCACTCACGCGCACAAGTATCTGCTGATGATAACAACCCTGAAGCCCACATTCGTGCGTCTAACAACCCCCCCGAGGTCCCAAACAGCGCCCAACTGTCGAAACCCTGCAAGCGAAAGTTGCAATAGTCGCATGGACAACCATAACTGTGCAAACGGGTTAGGGGTTCTTCTTGAACCGCCTTGATGGAGAATTCTTTTTCATCGCTTCGTTCTCACGTCATCTGTATCGGTTGATGAACGCTTACAATTTTGTGGCTGTTCGAAGGCGCACTACCACGCTGTATGTCTGAATCAGCTCTGAGAGTGTCTCAACGTATAGCACAACCGACCCATTATGTATCTCAGCGAAAGTTGTCGTTGCCATAGATGCGCCGGAGGGAAAAGGCAGGCCACCCCCCGAATTCCCAAGACCCCTCGATCGCAACTTTGATTGAAACATTTTCCGGCATTCTGTCAAGAGCAGTCCAGCAACAGGCTTCCCATTCACTCTCCTGCCATCGGAGTAACTGGCCTGTATCGTGGCGTATTCCACCCCAGCAATCTAGGCCGCATTCGTGTCGATTCTGGCATTCTGCTAGAACAGCCATTATGTCGCCCATAAGGAGACAGCCTGCCGTGGATACAATTATATAGAATCTAATTGATGTATCAGCTTAAGAACTTGCAGTAATGACCAGAGGAATTTGTACATTGCCTTATTATCGGAATGGCCACCGTAGCATTCAAATAGCATTCGCTGGCAGGGAGGCTGCGTGGCCAGCATGGTCGTCCATGATCAAGGATTGTCGTAGATCCGTTCCTCCAAGGTCAAAATCCCCTGGTCCTGGTCTCCAGGGTTTGTTGTATCTTTGGATATTGAAATGCCTATTTGGCTGAAAACAGGGTTCAGTTCCCATCTTTCGTCACAGGAGATTGACCGCAACTGAGGATCCCTAGTACTGGGGATTGTTACCAGCAGGCCTCTTGGAGGGCCGGGGAAGTTTGGATAACATCTCTCCAGTTACGGCAAACACGCTGGGCGCGAATAATTCCACTGGATTATTCAGCTGCAGGATCATATGCTCAACAAGCTCATAGATGCTGAAAGTATGCTCAGCAGATGATGGCATTTCCAGGACTTCCGCGTGAAGTATCACTTATGTACTAGTAGGTACGTAGCAGGCTCCAGTCATTCTGGCGCAAATCCACAGTTACAAATCAGTGGAGGAAGGGGTCTATTCCCCTTTTGTTTTAGCGTGGAGACGCCCATTCCTGCCAGCACTACTGAGTAAATCTGGGTGACGACGGGAAGGCCACGGTTGTGCGTGGCTTTTGTGCCGAAAACTATGGCCTTTCCACACTGTGAATTGCCGCTTTATGAGACCTGGCTGATCTTACTCAGTTCATCCTAGCGCAGTTCAACATAATTCTTGTGAGACAAGCCCGGCGCATACACCATGATTACAAGAAGCAGAAGCAAAGCATTAGGGATAAAGAAAAAAAATACAAGAGGATTTACTCTTCCTTCTTGAGATGCCATTCCTCAATATGTTCACCGACTCTAATATTGTGTTGCTGTATCTTGATCAGACTGCCTGCTCTTGTTCAGTTCCAATGGCTCA